ATTCCCTACAACTTATTCCTGCGGTTCACATTGAGCTGCGCAACCAGAGCTAACGCAGCGGGTTTTAAACTCTTACCTTCATTTCTCCAAAGAGACATAATTCCTCACAGTAAGTCGATGTAAATATCCATACAGGTCAGCCTGTATGGATATTTACATTGATGTGATGAAGTTTGAGTGAAAGGAGGCGCGCGCGATCCCGCTGAGGTAAAGCAGTGGCAGCGCGCGAGGCAAAGCGCAGAGGCGCCAGCTGTGTGATTGGTCCACGCGCTGCCGGCTTTAACCCTTGTGTCCAGAAATGGGGTCCAACCGACCCCACACACGTAAAACATGTATCATTTTCCACAGTCCTCTACGTTTGCCTCAGTCCTCGCACGCACAAAGGTTAAATGCTTGTCTAAAAACATAGACAAGCATCGCTTAGCCTGGCGGTGGGGCTAGTAAAGCATCGCGGGCTGCCAGGCTTACAATACACTGGAGGAAACCCTGGGTGTGGTGGAAACCCAGACTGCCTACAGGTCAGCTGCCTTGTTGGGTCTGGTGCTTCTTGTCTTCCTGTTGACAGCAACCCAGGGATTTTCAACTGGGTCAAGGTCAGGAGAGTTTGGTAGTTTGCTGGCCAATCAAGAACATCAACACCATGGTCATTGGACCAGCTTGTGGTATCTTTGGCAGTGTGGACAATCGTTTCCAGTCTTAGCTGATTAAGTTTGACATTCTGAAATATTACACATTTTCTGAAATACTGAACTGTAGATTTCTTTAAGCTGTAAGCCACAATCATCACAATTCAAAGAAATGAGTTGCATAAAACATTTTCAGTCACAATCATCCAGAACTTCTTCATATAAATCCCTGGAAAGTTTGTGGTTGTGACTTTGTGCAATGTGGAAATGTTTAAAGGGACGGGCTATTTTTAAAGGCTCTGCAGATTTTCGACTGTTTAGAGAGAATGGAGGTTTGAAGCTGAGTGTGGATTTTCTGGCCTGCTCTGCTTTGCAGCGGAGAGGTGAAAAGGGTGATGGTGATATTAGGAGTGTCGCACCCTCTGTCTGAAACCCATCACTGACAGATGAGGAGTTAGCAGCCTGTGACACAGCGTCACAGAGTGTCAGCGTTGTCTGGTCAGCCGGTATTAGATTTAACAGTGATGAGGTCTGCAGTGGAAATCAAATTTGTTTTATTTAAATTGTAGATTTTTCCCTCTGATTTTTGTTCTGAACAAATGAAGTGTTTTCTAATATAGCCTCATTTTTTCCCTTTTGCCTCATAACATTGTCTTATGAGCCTTTTCTGAACTGTATTCCACTGATCCCAAAATATCCTCTGCCATTCAGCTTCTTTGAATCTCATATTTCTCCTACAATCAATAAGATGGTTCATCAACATGCCCTGTCTTTGTTCTGATAGGCTGCTGTTTGAAGCCCATGCTAGCTATCGGGTCCTGTTTAGCTTTGAAACACGATTCATTCAGTTTGGAGATGAAACATCCCAACAGCAGTGAAGCAGAGCTGGTTGTCGAAGGCAATATTTGCTTTCATTTCAAATTTTACAGGTTTTGATATGGTTAACACGTCCGCAAACAAAATGTGTCACTTTGACCATGCGGGCCACTGCTTAGGCCTGTGTGTTAACTGTTTTGAAAATGTGGTGTTGGCAGCTGCATGAAAGCAATCAAAACAGAAATATGGAGAAAACAGAGAAGTAAGGACAGAAAAACAAACATTGAAAATGTTCACTGGAAGGAAAACATTATATGGATGTAAACCGTTAAACTGAAATTGTTAAATGGACGGATGGATGGATGAACTCATATTTATTGACATACAGGCTTCATCTATATTAATCCATTAAGTGGGTCCACCAGTTGCCCCAAATTCTGACCCAGAAATCCAATATGGTTGCCTCAGGTGTAAAATGTAATGCTACTTGACAGACATCTTGTATCCACATAAACCAGTCATACACAGTGTTAAATATCATTAATAGTTGATGAACATTGTTACTGTATTGCAGAAACTACCTACCTTTACCTTTATTGTAGGGTTAAAGGTCAAGTTGATTTGTATTACAACACATTTCAGCCACAAGGCAGCTCAAAGTGTTTTACACCAAAAAACATACAGTTACTAATTATGAAACAAGCAATAAGCATTACATTTTGTCAAATACCATCATCAAAATCATCAAGCAAATACACTAATGAAATATATTGATCAATGTTCCACTTACTGTTAATCAAAGGCCTTTCTAACCAGCTGGGTTTGTAGAACTCAGTGTTTCAGCTGTGTTTCAGTTTTCTGGAAGTTTGTTCCAGATTTGTGGTGCATAGAAACTGAATGCTGCTTCTCCATGTTTGGTTCTGGTTCTGGTTCTGATTCAGAGCAGAAGTCCTAATTGGTCTGAAAGATTAATACAACAGCAGCAGATCTTTAATGTATTATGTTTCTAAGCTGTTCAGTGATTCAGTTTTTCTTGATCTTGCTCTGACATTCGTCCTTTAATCCTGGAAAGCTGTTCAGGTGTTAGAAGACTGACTTTGTAACAGTCTTTATATGTCTCTGAATATTTAAGTCTGATTGCTACTCCTTGATTTGGGCCTGACTGATCACTAGTTTTAGTTGTAGCTAGTGACTCTGATCACTGAGAACATCAATTAGTAAATGTAGTGGGGTTCCCAGAACCTCGGTTCATTTCAATCTGGAAATACTCGGACGGACAAAAGAAAGAACGGTTAAAAGGTTTTATGACGGGAATGAATAATAGTTCTTTGGTGCTTGGGCCCCAGCAGATGATTTGAGCTGTGATTGTAGAAGAATATAATTATACTAAAAGGCATGTTGTTGGTTGATTCACATTAAGATATGTTTTGACTGAAAAGAAATGTACTGGGTCAATCTGACCTAGAAGTCAGAAAGGAACTCAGAATGGAGAGATGTGGAATAAGCAATCACCAAAGAGAGAAAGGTTAAGTTGTTGTGCAAGAAAATTCTGGCAAACGTCCTTTCCTGCTTGCGTGCGAAGAAGTCGGCCAGGACTGGGAAAGAATCTTTGTTTGGACAGATAAAGAACTAACAATTGACTAATAGTTCTTCTGATGGAGCAGATTTAACTTCCAGGAGGTCGACCCCTAATTCTCGGAACTTCCAACACACATCCAGTGTAAGACGGAGCCAGAAGTGCTACGCAAGCGAGGTCCAGTAATGCCATTGGTCAAAGATTCCCAATACACAACAGTAGAGCTGGAACTGTATAAAAACTTGATGTCAGAAGTAAGAGACAAGACATTTTGGATTCTGAGACGATGAAAATGAGACGATGAAAATGTAATGTGTGAATCCGCAGATGTGCATTAAATGTCTTCCTGTTTGTCTATGAGCCGGAGAGAATGGAGTTTGTGTATCGTTTCTTTATTTATATATTTCATGAATTTAGCACCTTTTAATTCCTCCATATGATTTGCTGTGAACTCGGGTGAAGATCCCGGAAGCTGATTAGGGATGCTCTCCCCCAGGGGCCCGACACTGGTGGAGGAGGTCGGGAACGGGTGACGTCCTGAAGAGCCGAAGGATGCGGGTGGAGAAGGGGAGGTGGTGGGTTGAACACAGCTGGAAAGCGGCTGACGGCTTGGGTGTGGATCCTTATATGCAGAGCTTGATTGATAATTGGACGTGCCGAATGAGGTCCAGCGCTTAAGTAGGAGGTGAGCATGACGCAGCGATGGGCGGAACAGAAAGGTTCTTGAACTTGTTTAAGCGCAAGTTCAAGTTTAAGTTTAAGCGCTTGAACTTCATTTCATCAAGTTAAATAAAAGGCGGTATGCTCCAGAGCCTTACGATGGAAACTCAGCCTCTAGCTCTTACACACCCATTGGAGAGTGTTGTAAACCTCATTTAACTGGAACCATGTAAACATCTGTCTTATCAGCCTGAGGATAGAAAGGGCCATGCTTCTCCTGCTTGGCTTTCCTGCCTAGAACTTAATTTTGTTCCCCTGTTCTGTCAGAAGGGAAGAGATTTGGTGTCAAAGATGAAGAGAATGTGAAAGAGCAGAAGAGAAACAGTCAACGGCTGCAGCCTCACTCGTGTGAATACCGATTTGGCTGCCGCTTACCTCTGGGACACTCGCAGCAAGCCAATTACCAAGCCTTAGTCACAGCGAGGGAAAGACAGAACCACTGATTGACTGAAGCCAATGATACATTCCAACCCGGCTCAACTTTCAGCTGCATTTCCTCACCATCTAACAGCAGCCAGCCTTTTTTAGTGCTGCTCACCCTCTGCTCCTTGATTCAATGGAAGACTACAGGCTGAGTGCAAAAGGGAGAGAAGAAAGGGGATAAAAGCGGTTGCTAAATAATCCCATTTAACTCTGAAATGTGCGCTGCTGCTTTTATTCTTGACTCACATCGAGTAGGCATGTGCCAGCCAAGTGTGGGCTGAATTGGTAAGCAGAGTAAGCAGAGAAGGAGACAGACATGTTTTGAAATGAGGCTTGAAAGGCAGCCCAGTTTGCAGCTTAGGGAATTGGTAAATGTCTTCTGGGAAGGATGGAAAAGGAAAGGGAGAGATAGAGGGATAAATGGAGGGGGAAAGAGTGGAGAGAAAGTCAAGTAGAGAGAGAGAGAGAGAGAGCAGAAGCTGGCAACATTATGACAAATACGGTGGAATGACAGATAAGGGATTGGAGGCAGGTGTATCTGACTGTAAAGAAGAAGAAATGAAGATGGAGAAAGAGGAGAAACGGACACTTTTCCTTAAATGTGGAAGGGTGGATGTGTGAAATCCAGCCTGAGGGAGATTTTCCGTCCACCACCTCAGCGGTTTTTCGTGAGCAAAGGTAAAGTCCAGACTGGAGCTACGTTTTTATCCTCCTGCCATGTTTCACCAACACTCTGGGAACGGAGCGGTTTGATCAGAGCTTTGGAAAACCTTTACAGGCGTCGTGATTGGGATGTTCTGTTTGGTGTTCCCATGTTGGTATAAATGGTGTCTGTGTTTGGTTTGCAGGCGAGGCGGACCTTGATGTCGTCTCTGAAGCCTGTCTGCCCTACCTGAGCTGCAGACAGCCAATCAGGCTGCAGGAGGCCTGTCTGAGGTGAGACCTGAGTGGAGGAGGGAAGTGGAGGAAGTCATTCCTGAGGAAAATATGTCAAAATAAAAGTACCAAATAGAACAATACTTTCAAAGTTAAAATCTGATGACTTAATGGTGTTTATAATAAAGGTCATACATTGTCTGACCACATCATTTTCTGAAGGACAATTTCATTTACAGAAACTTCATAATTCATTTTATTTGTTGTTTCTGTTGTTTTGTTTATTTATTTTGGACATTTAGGATGTCTTCCAGTTCCAGTGTTAAATGTTTGCTAGAATTTAAAGTTTAAGGATCTGTGTATGGATGTGTTCTTCAAACATTACCACTATAATACTTAAAAATTGTCTGTAAGCAACATCATCATCTATGAGATTTCCGGGACAATTTACCATCCAGCAAAATCTGTTATTGTGACCAGCCTACATAAGTATCTTGATGAAACTGAAATAGCTGAGCTGTTTTCAGTCAATTAAATTAAATCTACACCATTATTTTAGTTAAATTAAAACCTTTATTTTGTCTCTGTGAGATCTCCACCAGATTTTATTGATGTTAAATGGTACTTTTTCTCATTTGTGCATTTATTTCTGTTTTGAAACTCTCATGTTCGCAGAAATGCAACACATATTTCTTTTCTTTTAACTTTTATTTCATGAACATGAAACAAAAATAAATCATTTTTAGTCGTTACTGTCTGTTTTCTACAGTTCTATAAAAAACTGAGGAGATATGAAGCATTTTGTGACCTAACTGATCCCATCAGTTAAACAGTGGTTATGAAACAACTGTTTGTCTCATGTGAGCTGCAGAATCAATTTAATGTGGTGGCGCCACATTAAACAGAACGGCTCTATCTCTCCTTCACAGTGTTTTCCGTCACTTAATCCAGCTGGATCCGGACAGCTTCTGGTTTACGCTGAACCAGATCCACTGCCCTTCGTCCTTCATGTCGCCCCCCCACCCTGACCTCCGACCCCTGCAGCTGGGCCTGACGGGCCGGCCCAGAGACGAGTACTCAGACAACGTGCTGAAACTGCTGAGGGAGGAGTTCGCCTCCGACTCAGACCACAAACATTCAACGAACTGGGGAAAAAAAGAACCTGATATGTTTTTATATGCGAGTTAAATAAAAACACCATAGCTTCTACGCTAACGTCCAAACCAGGAACAAAGCTGGCCGCTCTTTCCACTCCCTCAGAGGTCTGATCTTTCATCTGTCTGACAGACGGAAATAAAATGTTTGTTTTCACATCATTTCTTTATTGCTGAAAGAACTGACTGAATCGTCCTGCTTGTTTTGAATAAATTAACAATTCAACCACATACAATTGAAGCTGTGGGTCTGTTTCTTGGTGTAGAGATTTATATTTCAGGTATGCATCTTATTATAAATCCTAGTTAAAGTTCTATATTTACCTCAATTTAACATGTCAAATCTATCAGGATTATTTTGTATTTTCTACATATCCAAGTCAATAAGGAAAATACATTTGCTTATACTGATTCTGATTTCTCTTAAATTTGATAAATCTGTGCTTGTGTTTGAGTTTTTCAGTAAGTCAGAATGTCATGAAAAAGTTAACTCGTATTTGGAATTAATTTTTTTTAAATGCCTTAATTTTGATTAATGAAAAAAAAAACTAAATCCACTTTCACCAAAAATGTGCATTTCATAAGACATGTCTAAAAAAAAAGCTTTGGTAACACTTTATTTTACGGGGTGTGAATAAGACTGTCATGACACCATCATAAACATGACATAACACCTGTCATGAACATGAATAAGATTTCATGAATATTTATGACTGTTGTCATAAAGCGTCATTCGGTAAATAATGACACTTTTAATACAAAGTTGACATTATTCAAAATGTCTTTATGACAACTTGTCATTAACCAAGAAATCATTACTGATATAAATTTGTTATAAAATAATTACTGATTTCACTTTAAAAATTAGGTAACTTTATGTTATTAAATGTAAAGTTTAAACAGTAATGATTTATATTATTATTCATGATTATTTATGACAACAGTCATAAATATTCATGAAGGCTTATTCATGTTCATGACAGGTGTTATGTCATGTTTATGACAGTGTCATGTCAGTCTTATTCAACCCCCTTCAAATAAAGTGTTACCAAAGCTTTTTTTAATATAGAAGTATTAACTTATGGCCAGCAGATATAGGTGACTGTTGAAGATGTTGGCTGTTCTCAGTGCTGTACTGAAATTATTTCCAGCTGCTGGTTTTTGGTACAAAAGGCATTTTTCCTTCAGCTGAACACAGAGAACGGCTGAGCTCTGTCCTGTTCAGGACAACATTGTGTAACGTGAACATCATGATGCTGAAATCCAACATGGGTCAAAGAGTCATGTGTAAATGAAGAAAACAGGAAGTCACCTCTGTTATCACAGCCCCTCAGTCAGGTGAGCCCTGAAAGCTGCCTTCCTCCCACCTCTGTAATCAATGTACATGTGCAGCGTCTGATGCATGCGTGTGTGTGTGTGTGTTGGGGACAAGATGGTCACATGTTTTGTATTTAGCTGGCCCCGGCTTTAATGCTAGCGAGCGCGGCAAGGCGCCTCTTTATCTCCTCCTGTGCTGTTGCTATTTATCCTGCTGCCATTGCTGACAGTAGCACCATTAGTCATCAGCTGCAGAGGGAGGGACGTGCTTGGCAGCCCCCATTACACACAGTCAACAGCTTAACGCCGTTTCTTCTTAATGTGCGCAGACAGACACATGCAGAGAGCTGAAAGCAAAACCAGAGGTGATGAAGAGAGAGGGGAAAAAAGTCTTGATTAGAACCACTTAGCTACAGTTCACGAGGGTCAGTCGCTTTTTCACGTAAATAACCAGAGCCAATTTATTCTGGTTTCATGTACAATTTATTTCATTTGATAAAGGCATACACTTAGTGTGAGACCAAACATTTGAGAAGAAATGTACATGTTAACTCCCGTCCTAAACAGAGATCCATTTTTGTTTTTTTGATGAAACATCAAACCAAAGTTTGAAAACCAAAAGGTGGTTCGTTAAATCACCGTTTGGTGTTCTGTCTGCAAACACAGCGGCTGCCCTCAGGAGCAGGACTGCTGCTGTTGCTTTCAGTCGATACAGCAGAGGTAAGACTGCTTGTGGAATTGGAGAGAAAAAGAAGATTTTAAAAAGCAGAAACAGGTTTAGTGTTTTTGTATATTTCTCTTTTTCATTGCCCAAGGGGTTTTCTAGCACATTAACACCCTGCGCCTCAAAGCTGCAGTAGGTAACTTTTATACAAATATGTTTTTTTACATATTTGTTAAAAAACATATTTTCATTGACCATATAATTGTTTCTATTTAGGGAATTTACTTTTGTAATTCCAATTTTCACAAACATATTTTTGATCAGATTTTGAGCTAGCATGAAGTGGTTTTCTGGCTGGATTTTGTAAATCTGCAATGGAAAGACTTTTTTTTTCCCACTTCAACAACCGTGTTTTACTACAGGTGGAAATGACAAAGAAGAAAACAGGAAGTGGTGGGAAGATGATGGCACAGCACATTGTTAGTGACTTATCGCGTAATTTTAATTGCGCTTCTTATTTAATGGAAACAACGTAATTTTGGAATAGGGTTTCTTCAACTTTAGTTGAATATTGACAAAGTTTTGTTCGCATTTATAATGGAAACACAGTTACTATGTCCTGACAGTGTAATATGACACAGGTAATCCAGTTACTATGACTGTCTGCAGATATGCAGTGCTCCAATCAGTCAGGAGGAGGGGCTTAGCGCTGTCAATCATGCTTGAGTACACGCTGCCTAATGTGCTAATGGCAGAGAAATAACATCATCCCAAAAAAAACTGTTTATCTGCCGTACTAACTGTATTTATGCAGGAAAAGATAAACTCAAGTTTTTCACAAGTTATCTCTCACGACTATGGTTGCCACCCGTCCCTTAAAATACGGAACCGTCCCGTATTGAACCGAAACGGGACGCTGTTTGTTCCGTACTCTACAAATGTGGATGTGTAATAATAAATAAGAGGTCCCATATAAGGTATATAGTTTATATATACCTGCCCCAGTCATTGTTTGACTCACGGTGTTGGTGTTGCGATATTGTGCCCAACTGCTTTTTGGGTAACACAGACCAACCGACACGCTGCCACCACCGTGCCCCCCCACTCCCCCCCCGGTCTTTAAATATATGGGGACTGGTCACTTGGTAACCCTAGTCGAAGCGCACCCCACCCCCCGCTATGAGGCTAGGATGACGTGCATTAGTGGGCGTCCCTTATTTTGATTTCTGAAACGTGGCAACCCTAGACACGACACTGACAGTTTCAACAAATACAGTATGTAAAAAAAAATATATATATATATATATATATATATATATATATATATATATATATATAGAAAAAAACAACATTTTTTAATAAAAGGTCCATACTGCAGCTTTAGTAGATCCATCAGAATGAAATATTTCCAAGTAAGCATTGTTTTTCTGAGACTACAGCAGAGTTGCAGCAGTCTGTGCTTGCCAGCGCTTCACATCCAGAAGCTTCAGAAACAGTGAGAGTACTAAGATACGTCAGGGAGGAAAACTCCTTTCTGAGCAGCTATGAAGAAAACATCATTCTTCTGTCTGTACAGCACTTTAGGAGAGCAGGAATGCAACAAAGATGGCTTTTAAAAATGTCAAACTGACAAGACTTCAATAAATAAAGGAATAAAATCAGACACTGAGTCCTTTACAAAAAAGACAAATAAAACTCATAGTGACAAAAATGCCTTTGTGTATGTTGATTGAAAAAGATTTTTTTTAAGAAAATTACTAAACATGCACTTACTTTGTTTTTTGAAATATACAGTTTTATGTACAGAGTGGATTAGAGGCTTGTAGAGGATTGAGGCTTTTTTTCATACTATCAATGAGCACTGGGTGAGAGAACCAAGCTGGGAGAGAAATTATTTACCCCATAAAATGACGCTGCTGTGCAAAAGCCTTACAGTTTCCCACATTTTTTTCTGGTTTTAGCCACAAACTTCATGATTTACAGGGTTTTATGTGATAAACCAACACAAAGTAGTGCAAAACTGCAGATAGGATGAAAGAAATAATGTAAACTAGATTAAAAATACTTGATAAGATTTTATCTTTGTGCAGTGCATTTCCTTTAAAAATGAACACTATACTTTTTAAGATTTTCCAACAACAACAAAAAAAACTGAAAACTATGTAGGATTTGTTTGCACTTTGTGTTTGATATAAAATACCAAATAAAATAAAATGCATTTAAATTTGTGGTTACAATGTGACAAATATAATAATTTCAAGAGATGCCTTTTGCAGGGTTATACATTAAGTGAGATCACAGTCTGGTTATACATTTACAGTCAATAATTAGAAGCATATTTAATTTGATTAATTTAGTGTCTAAGGTTTCATTCTTTCCTGACTTAAAAAAACACATAAAACAGATTCATTTGTTTGGACCTGCAGCAGAAGGTGGGGAGGAAAATTTCTACTTTCTGAACTGTAAAGCGATTGTTGGGGAAATACCATCTATAATGTTTTATTATTAATATTTATTGAAATCTCCCCATTCTCTGTGAACTATTCAGGATCTGTCCCTGGATCAGACAGAAAGTTCATTACTAATGAGTCTGTGCAACGTCTACATCATCAACATCCATGAACACAAACACAGTAAAATATCAACTCAAGAGCTGAAGCCGAGACCAGAAAGAAATCAGCAGGTTTTATATGTTGGACTTTGTGAACAAAAGCACTTGGAATTGAACCAGTGAGAAAATATTCCACTTCCTGTTTGTCTGGGTGAATGGAGTGACAGTAAGGCAGTGGAAGGTGTGATCATGTCTTTTACAGGATCTGGAGTTCAAGCAACATATTATTTACTGGTTAATAGACAGACTAAAGTCTTTTCTTTTTTAGTAGGTTATCTAGTTGTGGATGCTGAGATCAGAAACAGTAAAGCTGCCTAGATCTACCCCAGGAACCAGTTCATCTAAACTTCTGCACAGCATCAACATAAATAAAAACCACAAAACTGCTCCCCCCTCACAGTTCACTCCCTGCGCTCTTTACAGCCATATTAAACGTTTCTATGGATTCTGGGTTTCTTCAGTGTGAGAGGGAAGCTGCTTTCTGTGACCAAACATCTGGTTCTGTGACCTCTGGCTTCACAGAGCGCAGCTCGGCTCGTTGGAGCAGTCACTGTGGTTATTGTCGGCGCCGCTCCTCTTCAGCTCCCTGGCAGCGTTGTGCTGCGGCCCGTCGCCGCCGTGGCTGTGGCCGTGGTGGGGGCCCGCCTGGGGCCGCTTGCCGTGCTCCAGGTGGGGCCCGTGGTTCTGGTGATGGCCACCGCCGTGCGGCTCTGCATCGACGAACGCTGTCCCCGCCTTGGCGTCGTCCCCGGCCTCGAAGTTGGCGTCGCGCTCGGGGCCGGCGGCGGCGCTCTCTGGCACCACCTGCAGGTAGGCTCTGACACGGTGGTGGCGGGCCCCGGCCTCGTCACTGAAGTCGATCACGCGGCATTCATAGGTGCCTTCATCTGACGTTTTGACCCGGGAGAGGCGGAGCTTGTGGGAGATGTTGCTTCCCACGACCTTCACAACCTGGCAACGACAGAGGAAGAGTTTATAATGATGCTGTTCGATTTACTAATATTATTACTTTATTATTTTCAGTTTTTCTTCATTAGTAGTAGCATTGTTATTTTATTATGTTAGCACTGGGAGAAGACAGAGGAGCTCTTTTTTTTTTTTACATGTAGTAATTTGATAATAAGAATTTTAATCTAGTATCTATTAAGAATCATGTTTTCGTGTCGGGATTTGAACCGTTTCATGTTTGGACATTCAGACGCTCCAAACTTTTCCCCACAAACAGAAACAGAAACTTTCCTTCCTCTGATCATTTATGTTGGATATTGATTACTCAGCAGATCTTTCTCATGGATGTTAGCCTATGTTTCACATCTTTTCTCTTCATTCTTTATAGAATATATTTATGTAATATCAGAAGATAAAAACAAATATGGTTCAACATAAAAGCTTCAGGATGGCTTTGGGGCTGAAATCCTCCACAGATAGTGAAAACACTCCACAGCGTCTTTTTCCCTGAGTTCCACTCAGAGAGGATGAGTCTGTGGGACATCAGAAATATGACTCCCATTTATCACATACCTCTGTTCTGTTCTATTGTGTGTGTGTGTGTGTGTGCGTGTGTGTGTGTGTGTTCAGCAGCGGTCCCTGTGTTTGTAAACATGTTTGTGTCTTTACTTATACTGTCTTATACGTTGAACGAGAACTCATGACGAATACTTTCACAGCGACGTGGCCTGCAGTGTTTGACTCCATCTACACAACACACACACTTACACACACACATACAGAGGCTGGTGCTTCCGTTACAGCAGCGCATCAGCTTGTCTGTCTGGGGAAGGAGAGAGAATTCATCTTTATGTTTGTGAATTCTTCTGAAAATTATATCAGAATATTTTCTTCACTTATGAAGCTCTAATTTTAAATCCATTCAAAATTTTGGGATGCAAGTTATTGATAAATGAGTTAATTTAAAGTTAATCAATCTTATTGATCAACTAATGATTCATTGATAAGCAGCCATTTTCTTAAGAACCTGAGTTTTCATTCACATGAAAAGGTACATCTGTCGTTCCATAACATATATGGGTTAAGTTTATTTTATGCTGAATTTTGAAATAGCATTAAACCCTAACCTTATATTGTGTGGGCTATATTAAATACTGAGTAAACTGAAAATTGTTATCTCATATTATTAAACTTGAACATATTTATAAAATATAATGTAACATGAACCTTTCTGCTTGCTCAATAGATAAATAGACTATTAAAATATATGAAACTTAAGTAGCATGTTGCATCCCAAACCAGACTCTGTTTGGATCGCTTCTCTTTCCTGTTCTGGTATGGCCCCGCCATCTTCATTTCTGTATCAACTGAGGATGACCAGCAGCAGCCAAAATACAAAACTAAAAAAAGGGCTAAGTGGACATTATTAGTTAATTGATTCAAACTGATTGTAATCTAATAAACCATTAATTGACAATTTATTGCAAGTCAGTAAAATCTTTAGCTTGAGTTTTGTCATCATAAAGTAAATGTAATAATAATTTGCTGAATATTAAATCAATCTGTTGAAGTAATTTCCAGGTTTTGCTCGACATTTTTTCGACATAATGAGGCTCTCTGGACTTTTCCCTCCTTTGTGGCCTCTTCCTGTCAGTGTTTGTCACTGCGATGCTTCATTGTGCCCATTAAGGTAAGGAGGGTTCTTAGAATCTGGACGCCTCAGAAGGACTCTGAGCCACCGTTGAGCAGCAGCGATCCCAACACTCTGGTCTCATCCTGACACTCACCGTCAGGATGAGACGGTGAGTGTCAGTGTGTGATCTGGAGCATTGGCTGCACTGTGAGCCGCATAGAACTGAAAAACACACACTGTGTAACACAAAGACAGACACCATGACCTGCTCAGGAAGCGCTCTGACTCACACTGATCTTTGTAGCATCCTTCGGCGTTTCCTCCTCAGGAGACACCTTAGAAAAACAGAAGAATGTCAAAGAATCAACAGGTTTAAATTTTAACTGATTACAGACATTTGATGTCAATATTAACAACTGAAGGAGTGAACCTCCTGTTTAGTTGGACAATTCTGTGGTTACTTTCTGAAACCTATCATTTTCCAAACATACGGAGACTCCACTGACAAGCCCTTCATCATAACATTACACTGAGCTGAAATCATTTTTAGTCAACAGATTGTGTGCCTGAGCCTGTCAGATTATGCTGTGCTTATGTTTATATTAATAACCGTGGACATATTTATAAAATATAATGTAACATGAACCTTTCTGCTTGCTCAATAGATAAACTATTAAAATATATGAAACTTAAGTAGCACGTTGCGACTGGATAAACAGCTGCGCTGAGCTGTTTATCCAGTTTCCTGTGATTATATTTATTAAAGATTAGTTTTATTGTCCTGGTTTGAAACTCAGCAGGCTTTTAAAATGTAACATGCACTTCCTTTTGTCTTGAGTGTCTGCGTTTGAGCCTGGAGTCTGACAGGACCCGACAGGACAAAGGTAATGTCCAACAAAAATCTGTGACTTTTTTTTAATAGAGATTATTTCTATTGTTATGTTAAAAGTTTGACTCTGTGACTGAAAGGTACCAAAAAACATAAAAAAACAAAACTCAGTGTGGAATAAGGTCTTGAATGGTACTTTACTGTAATACATTTAAAACTTGAATGGATCCGTAATGTGGTGCGAACTGAGACTTTTAGCTGCTGCCATTCACTGACATTTTTCTCATGTTATCAGTGAAGTAATCAGCCAATAGATAATCATCCTGATATGTATTTACTTCATGCTTTTTCAGTATTGAGGAAAAATTCCTGTATCTTGTTGAAAAGTTACTTATGAGTTAGTTTTGTCTTATTTTAACCATGCTTAGCCATTTGAACTAGAAATTAGACCAAAATTGCTTGGTGTTGTGTTTTTGCAGTGAAGTGCACAAATCAGTCAGAGTTTTTGTACCTCATTAGTCGTCCAGGGCTGTTGGTCCGTCCACTCCAGGTGGTTCCTGATGTACCACCACTGGATCTCCAGCGAGTAGGACGGCGTTCCTGCTCCTCTGAAGGAACAGGCCATCTCCACGTCCTGGCCTCTCTGGGCAGTCATGTCATGGGGAACCTCAGTAAACATGGCTGGGAACACAGAGAGCAGACAGTGTCATTATGAGTGGATTCAGTCCAGAGAGGAAGGAGAACCTTAGTGGGTTGAGGTTAGGCCGACTAACCAAGGTAAGTAAAATATAAATGCATATCTTTGTTATTGATTTTATCTAAATTGAACTCTATAATAAAACCAACTTCTCATATAAAAAGAACAACCTGAACAACCAGTGGTATGACCTCTTGTTGCCATATCAACCTTCAGACCAATCAGATCTCCAGCTTCTATACACCACAAATCTGGAACAAACTCTCAGAAAACTGCATAACAGCTGAAACACTGAGTTGCCTTTAGTTCCTAGTAACTGGAACATTACTCAATATATTGATCAATATATCTGATGTGTATTCAAGATTTTCATGATGGCATTTGACAAAATGTAATGTTTATTGCTTGTTTCATAATTAGTGACTATATGATGTTTTTATGATGTAAAGCTCTTTGAAATGATTTTTCAGCTAAAAGTTTTAACTCATGTTAAACCATTTTTTTTATCTTACTATCCTTACACATTATGCTGCAATGGCCCATGTAAAGCAAGCCTTTTATTATTAATATAGGAATAGTTTCACAAATTCTTGATAAAAAAATATTACAGCCCTAAAATGTTGCAGAACATACAAAGGTACAGATTAAAGGAGAAACAAATTAATTATAGTCCAAATGTGTAAAATAAACCTATGCAAATGTATCTAATAAAGTAATGCAGCACCACTTTTACACTTTTTAAATTCATGATAACATATAAAAGTGTCAGTTGAAATGTTTAAATTTGATCAGTTTTAATTTGAAAGGAATCTTTGATTAGAAACCGAACACATTTTCAGCAAAGATTAATAACATATTTACTAACATAAAAAATATGCCTATCAGTCTTTTAATGAATTTGTTAAGTGTAAAAGTTGTGTGTAAGTTTTAAGTGCATCTGCAGTGACTTCACACTAAAATATGAAGGCTGTTATTTTCCTCCAGCCATTAGAACCAAAGCATTATTTACTAAACGGTTTCTGAGTGTAGAGGCCCAACTGGACAGAAGATAATGAAAAAACACATTAACCATGATAAACCAGACCTGAGACACTCACATGTTTCACTGATGCATGTATGGTTATTAAATAAAAGAATTACTAGAAATGATAAATCCAATTATATGATACTTGCAGTGTGAAGCAGTTAAACAGCACTAAACTCCTGAGACTAATTATTGAACATTTAGTTATCGTTAACTAAATGAATGTGTCCTTCATGCACCAACACTATTGTCCTAATTGATACTTGGATTTTTCTTTTGCAAAGTGGAAACTGGAGTGCAGCCAAGTGAACTATGAAGAAGCTTTAAAGATATCTGAATTTATTTTACAACTAAAAGAGTTTAGCATATATGATAGCAAATATGATCACAAAGAAGGTTTCTATGTGAGATATCCTGATCTTAGATTAAATGTCACAAAAATATTAGAAATAAAACGGAGAATGACTTGAGTGAAGATTTTCAGGCTACCCTTTCAGACTCTAGCGGTTCCTCACCCTGAGGAGTGAAGAAAGGGCATCAAGTCCAGCATCAAATGTCAAATCTCTCAGAGGACCTGGGCCACACTCCACGTCTGATTGGCAGGAATGCAACTAGCAGACCCTCATGGAAATGTTAACTGTCCCTGAGCTGTAGGGATTCTTGTTAAGCAAGTTTTAAAACAAAAGGTTACCCACTGTCTTACCATCTTATATGGAAAAGATCAAAAGTGAGTGCCAGCTTTTAAAACACAATGGCCAACTTCAATGTACATGTAACATTTTTTCTCTGACTCTTGAATATTCCAGAGCTGTCAAAGTTTCCAATGGGCTTCTTTTAAACTGCTGAGTCAGGAATAAACTTCACAACTAAGACCAGATCAAAACATTTCCTTTCACATCTTCAAGAAAACATGAAAAAAAGTTCTGTTTGGGTCACAGCAGACAGAAAAAGGATTTTAATTTCAGCTATTTTGACATTCTTCAGCTGCACATGTGGAGTTCCTCAAGGAGCCGTCCTGGGTGCTGTCCGTTTCTCCCTTTAACTAAACTGATCGTAAAATGTTAAAGATTCACTAAAGTGTCTACTAAACTCTTGAGATGACATCAAAGCAATAAAAATGTTGTAATCTTTCATTTAACCTTATTGAGAAAGATTTACAGCGCTGGTCAAAACTCCCAAATTCTCTTCAAGCCCTCGTGTCTGTAATCAAAATGGATGTACTTCCGTGAGTTAACTTTGACTCCTCAGTGATTCCTCTTGCACTGCCAAGAGGTTACTGGGACAAGCTGCACTCTCTCATATCTAAATTTATTTGGAATGGGAAGAAACCTCATTTGAAATTGAGAACACTTCAACGAGATAAAACGCTTGGGGATTGAATCCTGAGGTCTCTGTTTCTTGGAAACCAATTGAAGAAAATCTATCCAAACCATACAGGCTGGAGAACTTGATATATTCTAAGATACCTCCTAACGAGGCTAAATCAAGTTAGGACCCATAATTTCTTCTCTTCTTAGTCTTCTTCGTCATTCAGTGCTGAATCTCACAAACACCAACCTGAAATGGCATAAGCACTCTCCTTTATTTAATGACTTTTCTATCCTCATTGGAAACAAACCATTCTCCTTCCATAGGTGGAGAGATAAGGGTGTCAATGTCCTCAAAGACCTTATGAACAATGATGGCCTGCGTTCTTTTAGTGACCTACAAACTGCGTATAATTTACCAGGTTCTACTTTTCAGGTTCTTCTTTTATTTACAACTCCGATCGGCCATGAAAGCGTGCGGTGTGTCATGGGGTGTGCCTCTCCCAACCCATCCCTTACAAGAACTTCTTGTCGCGGGGTCAGACACGTGGCATTGTTTCTAAATTATATACATTTATTTCAGACCCTCGTGCCAGGCTCCCTGTAGAAAATACATGGGGGGGAGATCTTTCCTTTATGGGAGATGTAGAAATCTGCTGGGATACAGTATGGGAGAACCTCCACAACACATCCAAAAACTCTGACCATCGGCTTATTCACTTTAAATTTATCCATAGGATGTACTGAACACCCAGGAAACGTCATGCTATGAAAATGATCACATCTCCTACTTGTGACTTATGTACACTTAAGACTCCAGGCTCTTTTATGCACATGTATTGGGCTTGTCCCAGTGTGGCTGCTTTCTGGAGACAAACTTCCACTATGTTGAGTGATTTGCTTAAAGCTAACATTCAATTATCACCATCTTTGTTTCTACTTAATGACGATTCCACTTTAGAACTTTCCTCGCAACAAAAGCGCATGCTATGGGCCTCACTGCAGCTAAGAGGATGTTGGCTCTACGATGGCAACCACCACACTTACTGGCTTGGCAACAATGGGCCAACTCCTTCCTAGATATCGTTATGATGGAGAGGTCAGTGGCCAGGATGCACTCGGCCAGTCAAAAAACAATCAGCCCATGGGATGCAGCTTATTCTTTGGTTAGCGAAAGAGTGCAACATAATTCTATGTAATCCTTTCAATATGTAAATGTAAGTGATGATTTAATCTTCGCAACTGTCCACTTCCATATTTGTTATCACTTTGAGATCAGGGTAGGGGGTCGCCATGGGGTTGAGGGTTGGGAGGTTGGGGAGGCCACACTGCCTTTTCTATTTCTATGTTGTATCCCACCTATTGTAACTATACTGTAATGTACATGTTGTGGATGTAAAACAACTAAAATAAAACCATTTGATCACAAAAAATGTTGTAATCCTTGATAAATAAAAAAAGAGATCATTTTAGTTTGGTGAAGTGTGTCTGCTGGTTACACTGCTGTCAAAAAAGAGAAAAATAAAAATCACTAATGACTACCCATATAACTTCATTGCTATTTGATTTTATTTGTGTTGAAAAACAAATTTGTTAGAATTTTTTTATTGAACTGGAATTTCACTTTCTTTGGTGAATTTTAATAGTTTTTATTTTCTCCAATCAATTTTATCTATTGATTGGCTCAACCTGCATCTTGGTCCAGTTTATATGTTCTTAAATGTGCATTTAGAGATGAACTGGACTTAATATCCACAACGATAAAAGCTCATATTTAGTGATGGATCCAATCTAATAGTTAAACTAAAAATAAATCTAGGTCTGAAAATCAGTCACTGAGCCCTTTTACTTGTATGAGCAATAATAATCAAACCACTGTTACCAGCTTAGCAACTTTGTTGCTATACTAAGCAACATTTCAGACAAAAAGAATTGGTATCTGCATTAAAAACAGAATAGGCTTTTTAAATATTGGTGATTGGCCAGAAAACTGTAATCAGTGCAAAATCTGATCTAATCCAGTGCATTTTATAGTCAGTTTTATCCAAAGCCCTGTACTGGTACCAAAAGGTACTTTAAAAAACTTCCATTTAAATATGACCAAATAAAATACCTTTCCTTTCAGTCAAACACATCCCTGCCTAACATTTACACTGAACACATTAAACTCAACCTATTCCTGATGGAAAGCTTTGCCTCGTTTATTAGCTGTCAAAATGTTTCATTCTTATCAGACGGTTCTTATCATGTTTCTATCCTGTCATCTCCTGATCCGTTTGGAGAGAAGAGTGACACACTAATTGTGTTTTTAATTATTAAACAACTCCAGCGTGACATTCTTGGCAGTTTTGACGGTTTTTTAACCTTTGACCCTTTGATTCTCAGTCATTGTAATGTGTCAATCCTGTGCCAACAGAGTGCTGATTTTCCTCTTGATTCATGGACTAATGTCACCCTGTGAGTCTGCATTATGGATCTGTCTTGTATTACAAGAACAGAACAAGCCTATGGTCATCCCACCCTGTACATTGATCAAATCTGCTTGTATTTTTCATTTGTGACACCTGAAACACACCAGCTATTGATTTGACATTACAGAGAAACAATGCCTCCAGCACTGGTGGAGAATATTCAAAGCTGAGACAGAAACTGCTGGGTGAGATGCAGAACCTCTGAAATGATACCAAACAA